AGTGGAGCGAAATAAATGTGTTTTAAGTGCCGTTTTAAAGGAGGTGAGGTTATCCATCTGCCTTAAGTTTTCTGGTAAGCGATTCAACAAACGAGGACAGCTACGCTGAAAAATCTGTCGGCAAATGTGGAACATCTGGGGAATGGAATATGGAATATAGCACTGGAAGCAGATCTGGTAGTGCGAGTGGATACTTTAAGAGTGAGAAGATCACTGATAGGGTGGAGCTAGGCCATTAATGCATTTGAAGACTAAAATTAATATTTTAATATTTTGTACTCTGATCGGACAGCCACTGGAAGAATATGTAATTGTTTTAATGCTTCAGTCGCATTGTCATATTTTGACCAGTTAAGTATGATTTCGCCGTTAAGTTTTAAATTCTTTGCAGGGGAGCTAGTGTCTTTTTGGGAAGATGAAGAAAAAGGTCATTACAGTAGTCCATATGTGAGAAATTTAAAGCATTTGCCAATTTGAGACAGGTTGGACGGTCCAAATACTGACGGATCTTTTTTCAGTTTGTACATAGCAATCGCGGCCACTTTGGATTTAGCAGCGATGTGTTTTATGATATTAAGGTTTTGATCAAATGAAAATGCCAGAATCTTCACGCAATCTGACCTGTCTAAAACAGTATCAGCAATGATCATCTTATTTGTAGATGCTTTGGGTAATAATCTGTTGCTGCCGAAGATGATAAATTCGGATTTGTTGTTCATTTTTAGCCTATTTGTATGCATCCAAGAATTCACTTTAGCAAGACTGTGTTCCAACTCTGTCATAGTAGATGCCATATCACCTGCTTGATATCCCGGGGTTGCCTTTAAGTAATCTAATTAGGGCCATCCCTGTGCAATTTGGGCTTGTTCAGACCATTTTTAAAATCTGACCTTTAACATCTAGGCTATATAAAAAAATATAACATTTTTAAAATACCGATCATTTTGAAAAAGATTTTCATTTCATGACCTTTGACCTTCAACTTAAAAAAATATATATATTTACAATGTCACAGGGGCTATCCCTGTCCATTTTGGGCTTGTTCAGATTTTTTTTTAATCTGACCTTTAACCTCTATATAAAAAATTAGAAAATTAAAAAAAAAACAACCATCATAAATGTGAAATTTGGTTTTTTAATATGACAATGTAGATAAGCTTTTGGCTTGGAGACTACTATATATTGTATGTTGTTACATTAGTGGTTAAATAGTTGTTACAAGTGGTTAATGTATTTTGTTACAACAGTGGTTAAATCTTTGTTACAATAGTGATTAATGAATTATTACAACAGTGGTTGATTTTTGTTACAACAGTGGTTAATTTTAAATTAGTGGTTGATTGTTACATTAGTTGGTGATACAAGGCCTACACACCCACAGAGCAGCTGATGGTTCATCCTCACACAGACTTGAAAATAGCGCATTTCAAAAGAACAACTATTAGATAGTATTTTGTATTTTAAGACAGTAAATGTAAATGTTTTAAACTTCAGCACCTACTATCAATCACTTGTTTTATTCTTGCATTAATTCAAATACAAAGCCCATACAAAGGCTGAATCTCAAGGCCGTAAAATTGAATAGGTAGGTCGTCCATCGTTCTATCCATTGTCAATTGACTATGTTCTATCAAAATTTAGCCGTTTTCCACTAGGCGAATTTATTCGCAAGAATAAAATCTTCGGTTTGATTTCTGAGCTCTGATTGGTTGCGCATTTTTTCGCTTCACAAAAACTCGATAAAAAAGTGAATGCGCATGCGTATGAACCTATGATTTCGAATCGCGCGAATAAATTCGCCTAGTGGAAAACCGGCTTTACTCGCCATGCTCGCGATCGATGCACAGAACACCTGATCACTGAGGCTGACACAGACTTCAAAACAGCGCATGCGCATAACACGTTCTATAAAAATGATTATAAATAATTCATTAGATTTTATTATACTATCCTAAGTTATGCAAATTTGCTGCCTCCTTGACTTTCCCAGACTTCCTAAAACCAACAAAGATTTTGATATGGTACCTCCACTCCAATTAGCGACACTAGTAACTGGCACAGCATATTACCCCGTGGCTAAATTTTTAGCTGATCTACTCTCACCCTTGACAACTAACTACTACGTACTCAAAGATTTATTTTATGCTGCTGAGCATATCAAGAATATACCACCAAACCTGTTCTCTGATGGCTGTCGTTTTGTCTCTTTTGATGTATATCTGTTTACGAACGTTCCTCTTTCTAAAGTAATAGATATTACTCCGAACAGAGTGTACACCAAGAAATTAACAACTACTAACTTGAAGAATAATACGTTATTTAAACTACTGAAGGACACTTGCACTAAAACTGTTTTCTCATGTAATGATGTATTATATCAACAGTGTTTCAATGGGCTCCCTCTTGGGCCTGTGCTAGCCAGTAATATTGACTGAATTGGAAGAAACCATTATTCCACGTCTAGAAAGTAGGGGTAATCAAATTTTATTTTTGTTTTGTTGACGACACTCTTGTCATTGCTAAACCTAATGATTTTTTTATTACATTCTTAAATATTTTAACTCATTTTACCATCAACTTAAATTTACTTTCGAAACGTTTGATCAAAATGATGATGTACACTTTTTTGATCTCTCAAATTTAATTTTAATGAAATGGGTATTTATCGTAACATACTGGCCGATATATACACTTCGATAGTTTACACCGTGGATACGAAGCTTGTTCAGAAGAGCCTATAAGATTTGCACACCTGGATTATTCTTAGATCAAGAAATAATAATAATTTTAAAAAAATAGTGTATGGCATAGAATGGGTTCCCATTAAAATTAACAAACTATATCTCTATAACCTTAAACATAATCAAACTAAAACAACAACTCCAGCACCTGATGATGATATTAAACTATGTGTAAGACTCATATACTGGCAAAAGGGGGACAATCAATTGTGTACAGATATCTAAAGAAAGAAAGTCAAGAGACACCTAGTTGAGGATGTTAAATTCATAACAATTTGGCAATCGAAGAAAATTTTAAACTTTGGACTTAACGTCCAAAGAATATCGTAGGTCTGTTGTCTACCATTTCAAATGTCCTGGCTGCAATAAAGATTATTTTGAGAAAATAGACATGTCTAACAATTAGAATAAAAGAACATTCAACAGGACCTAATAGTGTTACATTTGACCACATAAGCGCATGTGATGGTTTTCAACATATCCTAGCCATGCATAATTTACCTATTAATGGTGATTATGATGATGCTCAGGGTTCTAATTATCATTCTTTAATAACCAATAATACTAAAGTTTTTGACTTTCCCAGACAGTGGTCTGAATTATTATTTAAAGAAGCCCTGGCTATTGTGCGCTAAAAGCTATGTTTAAATACCGGATTAAAAGCGTCCAAAGAACTTGTTTTGTTCAACCTGCCATTAACATTTTGTTTATTTATTTATCTATTTATTCATATTAACAATGTGTTCACATTTTATCAAGATTGATTTTGTTTTAAGGTATGTTGTTAATTTAATAATAATAATATGTCACATCTTGCTTGAATTGATTGGTCAATTTTACCGGTTTCTCGCTTTTGATTGGTTAATTAAGTTACTTCAATTCTGGTATATGGTCCCTATGGACAAAATTAATTTCATTCCTGATGATGTTCAAATAAAGAACAAAATATTGAATCAGTATGGCTTCTGATAGTCTTTTTGGAGTCTGCATGATATTATATAAACAAACACAATGACAGCAAATCAGAAAGCAGGCCGGAATCTAAACTAAATCATTGTAACAAACGTTAAGATTTCTTAACCAAAGTAACATTTTAACAATAAATATATAAATAATATAGATATTAATAAACTCAAACTGTACAGGATTGTGGAAACAAGCATGATGAACTAGTCCATTTTTGAGTATTAAGATACGTCACATGTACCGTTAAATAAATTTACAAAATTGATTTTGAATATGTACAATATCATTTGCTTGTATGCAACTCCAAGTATCACCAGGGAACAGTGAAATAAATCATTAACATAGTTAAATAAAAGTCATGATCTTTGTAAATTTCTTAGAATCACTAAGAAAGTGGGCAACAAAACAAAAGCTGCGAAAGGATGTAGCTTACCTTAAAACTATAGCTGTAACATCTATGCTGGTTCGAGCCGCTACTCGCCCAGGGTTCAGTTGGCAAAACCAGGACTTTTTGGATAAGGAAAGAAATTGAGGTCTAGTGTATAAATCTGGTTTAAAGACCCCGTTGCATCTTTCGGAAGGGTAGATGCTATGTTTCATTTCAGCCGCTGTCGTTGTGGAAGGATGTGAACATGTAGCTACTATAAGTGCATATTTGCGGCGGCTAGGTAGTCACGGACCACCCCATACGCAATTCACTACAATGACACTGCGAGTGGATTATTCTCCTACCTTTACTTTTATTAGTAGTATTATTTCAAGCTCGGTCGGACATCATTTTGACTAGCTAGCTCCATTCTTTACGATCATCCATGATGTTCTTTAGCTCCTCAGTGGTCAGTCGTTTATATTCGACCTTTAATAATAATAATAAAAAATGACAATGATGAAAATATTAATAATAACAGCAGGAAAAAATAGCAATAAATATTACAATGTTCAGTCTAAAATTAATAAATTGCAGTGATGTAAAGTGATGCTGAGTGAAGACACTGATGAGTAGAATTTTAGTGAAATAGAGAAGAGGGGGAAATATTGAATTTTAGCAGTAATTAGGCATGGCATAATAAGATAATACGGTTTAGAACACTACGGTACATGCATTTATAAGCATTTATTATAAACATGTTTTATGTTAAGTTTGAAGCTGTTAATAGAAAATGAATTTTGTATAAGGCCTGTGTAATTAATGATAAGTTGATGTGGATGAAGAACACTTTTATAATTATTTACCTAGGTAAATATGTATACATTGCATTATTTTTATTTGATTTTTATTATTTAATGTTTTAGGTATTACCTGCGAAGTCGGATGGACTTTATTTGAAGGAAGCTGTTATAAATACTACTTTAGCGTACTCTCTTGGCAAAGCGCCAGAAGGTCTTGTCAAAATAAGGGAGCAGATTTGGTTGTGGTCAAGAATTATGCAGAGAACAACTTCATTTACAGTACTCTTGCCGGTCGGAGGGATGTGTGGATCGGCTACGCAGTTTTCACATATGGGGGTAACTTCAAGTGGGTTGAATCAGGAATTATTTCGGACTACGAAAGTAAGAAAAAATAATTAAGAATGCATTGGCGTAGCTAGGCAGTGACAGGCCCTGTGCAATATTAATTACTGGCGTCTTTGATGTCAAGTGTCAAGTCTGACAACAGTATAGCTACAATTTATATAATTTATGATATTTTTTTTTTGAATAAAAAGTGATATGAAACCCATAAAATATCAGTTCAGGCATTTATTTACTTCAATTATATTTTGTCAGTTAACAAAATAATAATCAAACAAATGAATTTACAGTACTCTTGCCGGTCGGAGGGATGTGTGGATCGGCTACGCAGTTTTCACATATGGGGGTAACTTCAAGTGGGTTGAATCAGGAATTATTTCGGACTACGAAAGTAAGAAAAAATAATTAAGAATGCATTGGCGTAGCTAGGCAGTGACAGGCCCTGTGCAATATTAATTACTGGCGTCTTTGATGTCAAGTGTCAAGTCTGACAACAGTATAGCTACAATTTATATAATTTATGATATTTTTTTTTTGAATAAAAAGTGATATGAAACCCATAAAATATCAGTTCAGGCATTTATTTACTTCAATTATATTTTGTCAGTTAACAAAATAATAATAAAACAAATGAATAATATAAACAAAAAAGAATACAAACAAAATAAAAATCTACTATGCAAAATAAAATCTCTAATAGTTCCTTAAAGTGTGAACAACTTCGTATGTCTAGGTACTAGAGGAACTTGCTAACTATTGCTTTTACTTATTCTCTCCTTTTCCTTTCTAAGCCCCCGGAAGCTCCAATGTTTTGCACATGAACCGAATTTCGATTGAAAAAAAAAAATTAAAAAAAATAATAATAATAATAATTATTATTATTATTAATTTTGGCTTATATAGCGCATTATGCTGAGGGCTTCGATGGCTATATTATTAAACAATATTTAGGAAACATTTATTTTAATTATGATTGTTAAAGGGCTTAAATTGAATGGGCCCCTAATAGACCCGAGCCCCAACGAATTACACTTTCTGCATTTTATGTTGTAAAACAGATTTTTCTAAGACAAATTGAGCGGTTAATGAGATGCAGGTTTTAGAAACTGGGGAAAAGGGGCTTAACCACCGATTTCCACCCTTTTTCCCCAGTGTTTAAATATTCAAAAAATTGTATCTGATTAACCGCTTCCGAGTTTTTGGTCAAATATGCTTTTTGTATCTTAGAAAAATAAGTTCTACAACATATCATTTTTCCCTCTGGAGCCATGCTCTAATGTCTTAGTTGTGTAATATATTAATATTTTTACTTATTTTTAGACTTTCGTTATAGTGGAGGTTATCGATATGGAGGCTGCGTTAAAATAAGTTCTTATTATTATGGTAGATGGGACGACATTACGTGCAGTACACAAAAGAGTTACGTGTGCCAAATAAGTAAGACAATTCTTTTAACAATTATACTGTTAATAAATTAATAAATAATAAGTACTTTTTCGTCGTTATTGAAATGCATTTTCTATCATCATATATGTTTGTAGCGGGGGTATATCTAGCTGTCTTATGGTGCAAATACTGTTTTACAAGATACAATAATAATAATAATAATAATAATAATAATAATAATAACAATAATAATAAAATGATAATGCTGATGATGTCTCCTGTCTTATATGAAATGTAAAGCAGTAACTTTTATTAACAGTCTGAAAGCAAGAGTTTTATGATTCGCTTCATTTGAATTTAATAACTATTTATTATTAATTTGGTTTATTGTAATCATAATTGAATACTTTTCTTTTCCCTTTTTTCCATTTACTTGTCCTTCTATTTCAGTTCCTTCCCATTTACGTTCTCATACCCTTTTCTTTCTTTTCATTTCAGCTACTTTTCCTTTCATTACATTTTAGTTATCTTTTCACTTCTTTTCATTTTTCTTTCTTTTCATTCTCATTTCTTGTCACTTTCATTTCTTGTCAATTTCCTTTCTTTTCACTTTATTTTCTTTTTAATTTCCTTTATTTTCTTTTCCTCTCTGTTCATTTTCATTTCTTTTCATTTCCCATTCTTTTCATTCCGTTTTTTTTTCTTTTTGAAAAACGTTACTAGTGACAAACGATTTTTGTCGTTTTCAATCATAATAAATTTGATCTGTTTGACGATTTCAATCAAATAAACTTGAACCGTGACACTGTCCATACAATTAATGTTCTCACATTGATGTCAAAGGACGCATATGGAGTCATTATTGTCAAACCCCTTAACAAATTAATTTAAGTCTACTTCTGTCACAAATATCATAGCAAAGTTTTGTCCTTTGAGCTAAGTCACTGGATAAAAGAAACATTCACCATTTCTGTGCTGATAGATAGTGAGGTTGAAATTTAAAGCTCATTTTTTAACATGATCCAATTGAGCTCAAAATTACCTGGAATGATCTAAATGGGTTTATGTTCTATAGAACATTGTTTCTAGTTTCTTTCCATTTTTATTTAAGAAAACAAAAGATGAGTACCAAACATATTTATGCAGTGGTGAGTATGTAATGTTTGTGCATGTGTTGAAACAGGGGTGGCATCAGCGGGGGGTGGGGGAGAGCTGCCGTCGGGGAGAAAAAGCACAATTCGTCGGGGAGAAAAAAAATATTATATGTATTTTTTACATATTAGTATAGTTAAAGAAACCTTTGAAACCCCTAAATTGTCGGAATTTTCGGGGGCTTCCCCCCAGGGCCACTTTCGGAACCTTTAATCGAAGCTCGACCACGCCCACTTTGCTTTCGTCGGGGAAATCTGACATCTCGTCGGGGGCACCGCCCCCCGGGACCTTACCCCCCCCTCCCCCCACCCCCCGTCGGGAAAATCCTGGCGCCACCCCTTTGTTGAAACTACCTTTAGTTTTGCAAAGACGTTTGTAAATGGTGAAAGTTGGAAATGCTTGACTTTTTCTAAAGGTAAATTTTTTTTTACCTTTAAATTTGCGCATCATAAAGTTCAAATCATTTTAAATTGGTGTACAACTTATTTCTCCTAGCAGTGCCAGAAAGTGAAAGCTCTTCCCAAGTTTTTGAATCGAATTTGATATGCTTAAGATTTTCCTTTTAATTGTCTATATAGCGAAGTAGTGGTCAACCTATTTTATGCTCTAATTTGACTATATAGTAGTTGTTTGCGTATTCTATTGCCATCTTCTCCATGCGGAGAACATGACCAACCCAATTTGTCTGTGCATAACGTCATCTGGAAGAATTAAATGCCACTGAGCTTGCAGCGTGACAAGATTGCGATATTATGCATTCTGTCCTCCTATGATATGTTGCAAGTAGTATGTAAGCAATGCATGTAGAAAGCATGAAGTTGTTTAAATTTCTTACTGTAAGAAGTCAAAGACCTAGCATCATACAGAGAAGTATGAATAACAATAGTCTGGTCTTCAGAGAGTGACATAATATACATCCCACAAGCATTTCATGTAGATTTTCAAATGCTTATGTGGCTTTGACAATACAGGAACAATTTTCTTTATCTAATTTAGCATCTGGAGTAATTGTTGACCGTAGGTAAGTAAACGATTGTACAGTTTTCACTGTTTTTCAATTAATTACTTGTCGATGAAGGTTTTGTGCTTGAGTATTCAGTCCTTTTAATGCTGATGAGACTATTTAATGGTTTTGCTACATCAGCAAAACTATCGAAATTAAATTGTATATCATCCAAAGAATCCAAACTTAGAAGTAACCCAGTAGTTCCTATCTATTTTAGTCTTAGCCTGGACTTTCTGGAGATCGAAAGCCCCCGCTTGTTCAAAATTGAATTTTAACCCTTCTTTTGTTGTCTCTGAAGGCTACCTGAAGCATTATCAAGAAGAACATAACAAATAGTACCGGTGCAAGAACACAATATTGCGCTGTGCCGTTGGCTGCTTCAAATGCTTTAGAATGTTCACAGTCTGATTGAACAGATTCCATCATGCTTTCATAAAAGAGCATTTAACTTAGTGAAAAGGTTCATCTGGATCTCTAGACCTTATTTGTTAAGGATTTTTTTTTTGATGATCCAAGAAATATTTGAATAAATACGTTAACTTACATTTTATTCTCGAGCAATTGCTGGTTTTTAACACAGCTTATATATGAGTGGGTCCATGCACCTTGGGAACGATTTCGTGAAATCATTGGAGAAGCGCCATCTATTGACTATTCGGGTTTCCCCAATGGGATTGTCGGGGGCCTCTTCCTTAGTATGTTGTTATATAGTTTGGGTAGTTCCAGTTCGCTATTATCTATGTTCATGGTGTTACAAAATTTTCTTATCTTGATGCATTCTTTAATTTTTCTGTCCTTCCAAGATGATTAATTAGCCAAAATTTTATATTCCAATTTGGTAGATGAGTGTGAGTGGTCATGTGGTCAGTAATGGCCAAGTTATGAACGACTCGACTTCGGCGGTTGAGCTTCTAGCAGTTCTGGTTAGTATACCTGTGCAATGTGAAGTTACGTCTGCTTTATGTTCTTTTATTCTTGTGGAAAGGGTTCTTGCTGTTTCACCTATATATGTCCTTTCGCAGTTATTGCAGTTGATTGATATACTACTCCTTTTTTTTTCCCCGAATTTTATTTTTACTGTTAAGCGCATTGAGGCTTTAGCATAATGCGCTATATAAGCCAAAATTATTATTATTATTATTATTACTCCTGATTTGTCCTTCTTGATTTTGTCTTTCGGGTGGACTAGTAGATTCCTTAACTTGTTTTGCGTTATGAAATAAGTATTAATGTTGAAGCTAGATAGACACCGTCTTATCCTTTCTGAGATTTTTGGTATATAAGGAATGCCTATATTTACTTTACATTTGTTATTTGGGTCTTTCTTCTATTATATTTTTCCTTCTCTTTAGCTTTCTCCGATCTTTTTTGACTATCTTATCAATTGACCATTTAGGATAATCACAGCCAGTAAGTGCGTGTCTTATCTTTTTTAATTCTGTTTGTCATCGAAAAAGGAAGACAAACACATTGAAATGCAAATAGAAGTCACCAAAAGAGGAAAAAGACATCAAAAAAACATTAGGAAAAAAGTACAAACGTTAAAATAGGCAACAATCAAAATGCATGCATTTAAAAATAGGCAAAAATGCAGAATACGAAAATCCAAAAGGGCACAATCAAAGCAAAGTAAAACAAACTGATGGGCTGTTTTGATATCTTTTAGTTCTGCAAAGAGATGTAAATTTAGTATTGGACCTATTATTATTATATTTACCCTTGGGAAGGGAGCAAGGCGTGAAGTTTAGAATACGGATAAAGAATGTTTTTGGCAAAAGAAACGCAGATGTTATGTCGTCCAACACAAAGTTTATCCAAGTAAAATTCAAATAATGTATCGTCATTATGAATTTATTACCTAAAATAATCTTACAGGCCTTTTGGACCCTCCCAATGCGGGAATCCAATAATTGTGTAAGTCCGCTATTCCACACGGGAACAGCATATTCCAAAATAGGACGAACTGTGCTCATGTAAGCAGCAATAAGGTGTTTAAGGGCTCTTAAAATATATAATTAATTATTTGATTTTTTGACAATATATTCAACATATGAGTCTCAGTTAAGTTTAGCTTAAAGTATAACCCCAAGAACTTTAATAAGTGTCCACATTTCTCAGAACATGCTCATTCACAACAATAGATGAAGGCATAAAGTTCCTTTTGCTAAAACTAATGTCCACAGTACAACATTTCTTAGGGTTAAGCTTCATATTGAAAAAAAAAAATAGAATATACAGTAGAAGAAATTTCAGCATGCCGGTATAGCGAATCCATAAGACTGATTAAACAATAACATGTAGAAAGTTTTCGCTGACTCCCGAACTGCATCGGATCAAGCTTGGTATTCGTTTCCACCAATGTATCTCTTGCCACAAGGTGTCTTGCGATTTTTGCAAAATGGTCAATAAGTGCAATATTATATCGTATATGTCGTATATTATCAAAGGTAGCTGGAAGCTTAGGATCCGTGGTAATAGTAAACATACACATTTAAATTCACTGGGCACCTCGAGCGTATAGTAAGACACATTATTAATACATGATAGAGGTTCGGTCAATTCATATGAAAATGTTTTAATGAACCAAGCAGAAATGATATCTGGACCAGCCTTTCTAGTTTTCAGTTTATTGATGACGCTGACGACATCCCATGGTTAAGTATGTCGAGGTTCAGACGAAGGCAAGAAAACAGGTAGAGACAGTCTGTCTAGCGGTTTAGGTTCTTTACCTATGCTGCTAAAGTGAGTACAAACAGCGTTATCAGTCTCCGTGTGATTGTTGCAATTAGGAACATTGACCAGATATAATTGCTTTTTGAATTATACGATTGATCTTGTTTCTTAGTTGACGCCAAAGTTGTTCATGATTTTTTTTACGAATGCTTTTTTGCTTCTTGACAATAAGTGCTTAATTTGCGAAGGCATCCTCGGTTTGTCAGTAGGATGACGCTTAACAACACGTTTTGGGAAATATTGTAATTGATTGCATATTTTTCTCATTATATACTTCTTTTTTCCACTCAAAATCAACAAGTTACTGACCATATGCGCGTATGTTACTGTCAGGCATAGGACGCACTATATGTTTCCTTATAAAGTTGGATTGCTTAACATCTACTTTGGGCTTAAAGAGAACGCAATTGTGATCCGACAGTCCAATGGGAGGCAAAATGTCAGGGCGCTGATATTTTGCAGATATATTGGTAAGGATCTTGTCCAAAATCGAACTGCCACGTGTAGGTTTGTTGACCACTAGTTTAATTGAAATAGATAGAACACAATTCAGATGGAGGTGGTTGAAATTGCCAACTATACAAATACCATTACCGGGCTGTTCGGACAAAATACTATCAATGGTAGAGCTCAAATGATCATGAAGTTTTTTCAGCAACTGGGTTATTGGGCGGATAGTAAATTACACATACCACGATATTGGTGACAAATCTGGGCAAGCGGAGAGGTCTCACACTGACCCACTGAGCTTCAATATCATCTGGTACAATAATGTTGGTGAGAACCTTGCATTTAATGCTGTCCTTAACATACAGGGCCACACCTCCACCACGTTTGTCGATTCTAGGCCTGGAAAAATACAATACCCGTCAATGTTCAAAAGTTCAGCAGGTAAGTTAGCAGAAAACCAAGATTCAGCGATTTCAGCAACGTCGACATTATTAGATTCCAACACAACACTTTCATTCGTTCAGTTTGTTATTTAGCGATCTGTCGGGTTACAGAAGAAAACGGAGGCAGTAGATCATGACATCCACGACTAGCATTATAATTACAAACAATGTTGATCAAATTACCAGGTATGCAACCTTTGCCATTGGGGTTTGTAACTGTACTTGCTGACTCTAACTTGTTCCGTCAACCCCACAACCACGGGTTTTAGTGCCAGCTATTCCTATAGGGTTCAGGTATTGAAACAAAAAACTGGATGGCTTGTGTTTTGTATTACAAACAAAAGGCTCGGTAATTAATAATCTGAGCAGCAAACGGTAGGCAAAATGAATCAGGCTCTGTCAAGGTTGCAAGTGAGATCGATAGGCCTAGCTTTTAACAAAGGCAAAAACCAAACAAAAGCACACAAACCAAGACGAAAATTGACGATTCTATTCCTTCCAGTCAATAGATTACGACTTACTGAGAGAATTATCGTGCTGCCTTTTGAAGTTGGACCATATACATATTTTAAATTGTTCTAAAATGATTTTATATTATGTTGGTCAAAAGCGTCCTAAAGAACTTCAGCCTTTTTGGGCCACCAATCGTCCTTCACACGGAGGTGCTTTTGGGAAACAAGTAGCTTGCTTCAAACACAGGTCTTATGTGCAACATGCATGCGATGCGAGATGGTTTCGTCACTCTCATAAAACAAGTCTTGGTGCTTACGGCTGACGAATTCATGTACAGAAAAGGATGATTTATGAAAAGCATCATGGAACTGCTTCAAAAAGGTTCATATCGTTATTAATGAAGAAGACAGATTAAATACTCCTATAGGAGACGGAAAAATTACCTTCGTACCTCTTATTTTTATTTACCGTATTTCTTAAAAAAAGTTCCTACTTAGTTAAAATTAGTTTTGGTACATTGTTTGATGGCCATTTATTCATGAGTTGGGGGTATTTTGAGGCCGAAGGCTGCAAGACATGCTTTCAATTTAGTTATGTCACCAACTACTGGCTTTGCTTCATTCCATGGTCGTCATCCAATAGAATGGGATGATCCCATCACAAGTCTTTTCTTCTCCAACCGTTAAACGTCCTTTTGGTTTTGGTCTGGAGGCGTCATCCTGTCCATATACCTAAGATGTTGTCGTCATCTGGTATTTCGACCGCCGCGTTTCCCAAGCCTTTCTTAGCATGGCAGTCTGGTCGCAGTAGGTTTATTTTTTGTATTACCCTTCTGTTAGACATCGCCACGTTTACCTGATATGGCTTGGTAACAGTTACCAGGGAGCACTGGATGAAAGTAAGGTTGGCTTTGGTGGTTACGATTTGAACTAATGAGCTCCCAATGCACCCCATCATTTATTCATTTCAATTTTAATTTATTTGATTGGATGCTGAATATATATTTGATATGTGATCGCCTAACAGGCAGACACCTAATTTGAAGCTCTTAATCTTAAGTTAATTTCTTCAATTACATCTTGAAGTTTGGATAAGAATCAGTATCATACTAAAATTTAATTATCCTGGAACCTGGAGGACAGTTTTTTATTACCTATCTTCCATTCTTGGCCGTGTAACAGTCGTTGAAACTTTCACCATATTTACCAAGATGGAGTAAGCAGCCATTTTGGATTTCAGGCTACAAACTAAAGCTGG